TTTAGTTGCTATTGCTAGCTGTGTTTCCATGTGTAGTGCATGTCATAGCTGATCTCAGAGCAGTGAAGGCTGAGCCAGATTGTTTCACACACTCCCATTCCGTCAGTGAAAAATCAGAGTTTATCCACCAGAAAAAAAGCTGCTGTCTTCCACTTGCCCAGCTCCTTTATTGTTAATGGGAGATGAGCACAAAAGTGAAAGGAAAAATCACTGTTTTTCAATTTGCATCTATTTTTAAATTTGATGAGGAAAGCACTGCTTGCCTTGCTTGCCCTGACAGGAAGTAATATTTATTCAAAAATAAAAGTTTGCAAAAGAAAAACAATAATTGTAAATACTTAAAAAACACAGAATTAAATGTTAAAATTACTTGCACTATATGCATAGATTTATTGCAGTTGTATCAGTCAAGCATTACCAAGTGATAGTCATGTCAATGCAGCAACACACCCGACGTGTTGCTTCTTAGCTTTGTTATTCCAACATAGAGGTAAAAAATAAAACAGAATGTCGGTGGCTGAACTGAGATGGAAATAAAATGGAACAAATGTAGAACATCTTATTATAATAAAACACGCATAATAGTTTAAGTAACATCCGTAATTTACTACTGCGAAGCTAGAACTTCTCTGACATGTCTAATGCAGTATAAGTTGGCGCGTGCAGATTAAAACAGATCAACATAATATAATAAACCTTTGTTTGTGTTTTCTTGTCCTCTTACAGAAATGTGCAACGACACCTCAGAACAAAATTATTCTGAGTGTTCAGTTTCACCCTGTGATGAAACATTTCTGATAGTGGTCATTTCCAGGATTATAATGCCCCCCACTGATAGGACATAAGGGCTCAATGCTTTGATGAGGATGAAAATGATATGAGAAAATGAAAATGAGATTCACTAAACACCTAAGGGAGATTTTGGAACATCAAAATACCAAATGAGGGGATATGTTTTGGAAGAGTGGCGTTCCTTCCCTGCTGTGGAGTCCTGAGACTTTGAGCTTTGAAGCTGCTCTGACACAGGATGGCTCAGCAGCTTACTAACACGGCTCAGAGTCTTTTATAGTCGTTCTGCTGGACAGCTCTTTCAAATTTAATAAACAAGTGTCTTCAGTAATCAAATCTAGCTTTTACCAGCTGCGCCTTATTGCTAAGGCTAAGCACTATGTCCCTCACAAAGATCTTGAAAAGCTCATTCATGCTTTTGTGACTTCTAGATTGGATTACTGCAACTCCCTCTACTTTGGTCTTCACTCCGCTCTCCTTCATAGACTTCAGCTTGTCCAGAATGCTGCGGCTCGCCTTCTGACTGGCACTAGAAAGCATGCCTCTATCACCCCAGTTCTTACTGATTTGCATTGGTTACCCATAAAGCATCGCATTGAATTTAAAATATTGTTGCTCACCTTTAAAATTATAAATAATTTAGCCCCTCGTTATCTTGCAGATCTTCTTAGTCTATATGTCCCTGGGCGAGCCCTCAGGTCTTCAGCCCAATTACTCCTGGCTCAGCCTAGATCTAGACTTAAATCTAGGGGTGACTGTGCTTTTGCCCTGGTTGCACCGAATCTGTGGAACAACCTTCCTATCGCTATCCGTGTGTCAGACTCCGTTTTATCTTTTAAATCCCGTTTAAAAACTCATTTATTCAACATAGCTTTTCCATCTAGTTAGCGTCACTGTTTTATATTTGGTTCAATTTCTTATTTATGTACTTTATCTTTTAGCTATATCTGTTCTTAGTAACTTTGTTCTTATATTCCCTTTTATTGTTGTATAATTAGTGCCCTTAACCTGATGACATATGTGGTACTTTGTTAATAGTCTTTTATTTATTGTCTTAATTTTCCTGTTTTTATTGTAAAGCACTTTGGTGTACCACTGGTCTTTTAAATGTGCTGTACAAATAAAGTTGTATTGTATTGTATTGTATTTATATATAAAAATAAAATGTAATTTAATTTTTATTTTTTACATTTTACCCAAACATGAACTTGTGAACTTAGTAGTTTTAATATATCTTGTGGATAAAACACGCCTCTTTGCGGTGTGTGTGACACTGACTGTATATAAAAGATGTTTGTAGCTTTGAGGGCTGAAGTTAATTAAACCTGCATTCTATCTAATGGCCAACAGGGGGCGTTTCAAACACAACAGACTGGAACAGAACAGAAAGGCCAGGGGGAATCAACCTGCTGCTCACTTCCTCTATGACTTCAGTAAAAGAGTTTATCGTCTCAGTCACAAGTTTCAACACTGCGATGTTCATGGTGTAAATTACAGTTTGAAAAGACAATAAAACAGAGAATGCTTAAGGGCAGGCCTGCCTCTTTATGGGCGAGTTGCTTCACTATATCTCCCTGCCTGATATTTTCTTCTCTTTGTCTCTCAGACATGGTGCCACAGCCTGAGGTGTGGCCTGAGGTGGAGAGGGCAGAGTGTTTGGCCCGCGGCGCTGCCCTGAAATGGGCCTCGGGTGTTTTCTGTCGGCCTGAACATCTGGAGCGACTCAGTCAATACAGGAAGAGAGAAAGTCAGAGGACAGCATCCGTTCACACCAGACTGAAGGTGACAACACAGTCCACAAATACGCATGAATGCACAATAATGGAGCCGTAGTTTAAAGCAGTTTAAATGATCCCAATAAGGCACATAAAAGAAACCTAATCTGCTCTTCCTTTTTTTCTGTTGCATACAGTGCTGCAAAAAATAAGTTGTAATTATAGTTCTAACCCAGTTCAACAGAAAATGTGTTTTTAAAGTAATGATTTTATTTACTGAGGCGAAAAAAGCTATCCAAAGCTACCTGCCCCTTTGTGAAAAAGTAATTGCCACACCCTGGACTGATTACCACCAGACCTGCCGACTCAAGAAATCACTTGAGATTTCAATGAACAGCACATCATTCTGCACTCTAAAGAGACAAGTGAGAAATAAAGTCACTGATAGGGATGGGTATCGTTTAGGTTTTATCCGATA